CAAGTCTGACTTACAAACCCTATCCAGAGAGTTTCTGCCGTCAGGTGCTACGGCTGTAGATGTAAATAGTAGAGTTAGTACTTAATGCCCCAGAAGCAATCCCGGCTTAAGTCCATTTGCCAGTGCCACAATTAAACAATCGTTAAGCTCGACCAGCCTCACAGCTGAAATGCATGGTAGACACAAGCCTAGAACGGAACGAAGCGAGAGCATGGCTTGGGAGAGCTCAAGCCAATGAAGGAAAAGCGAAAAAAGGAATCCTATAATACATTTTCGTAAGGGCAGTGTAAAGGAGAATTTGTATTACTTCTTGGAGTACTCCCTTAGGGACAGAGGGAGACTCATAAGGAAAATTCCCAGTTGCGGAGCAGAACGGTTGAAAGAATCAAATCTTATTTAATGATATTCTCAATTTGAAAGTTAATCTCATCGGCGAGTAGCAATGGTGCCCAATGAGAAACAAAGGTAATTCCCCCTTCCTGCCGACGCACAGCTTCTGCTATCGTCACCTTTCCCGCCGTATCTCGTGTCTCTTTCCAAGACGGGAGTGGCGAGTGTCGCGCGGATGTGGGAGACCGTGCCCTGCTAGCGAGTCCATCTGCGCCATCTGGAAACGCTTCCTGGATCCATCGCCCTCTCTTCTCTTGGTCCCTGGCTGGGGAGGGAACGATCGACAGACTCAAAACCTATACAATGATATTCTAATTATAACAGGAATTCGTATTTTCAGAAGGAACTTACGCACTATTTAAAGAAAAAGACAATTGTGGCAGGAAGTTCCGTGAAGGCATCCATGTGGCTTTTATTGCGTGGATATCTTGCGACGCAGAAGAAGAGCGTTTCTTGCTCAGATAAATTCACGTAATTATAAGATCTGCATGAAGGAATGTTAAGGTCGTTGCTGGGATTCTTCCGAGGAGGAAAAGAGATGAAGGGAAGCGAATAAGCATTAAATTTCTTTCATTCGCTTTCTTTATTCTAGGAGGAGAATGCGTCAAGATCTTTTTCACGACCCATTAGCCTAACCTAGATTCAAAACCTGGGGGAAAAAAGGATAATGATGCGATGCATACGCCATAGAAAAAGAGAATGCCGAGGTACCCAACACTGGGGTGAAGTCTTAATAAGTAGGGGAGGCCAGTAGGCTGAAGTAGGGAAATCGTGCCAGGGGCCGACATAGCTCGTTCGTTAAAGGTTCCGCTGCAGAAGAGTGAAACTCAACCTCCAATAAAACGAATTTCAGCCCTAATATTCGAATAGCATAAGAATGACCAACTTGAGCGGGGAGGAATGCACCACGACGCAAAAGTCCTTGGAACCCGACCGTGCGCTATCGAGAGCCTGTCAGTGTTCCTTCCTTGCTTCGCGTGGACGTCGCTCTCTCGCCCCGGTGAATTTTCCTGCGTCCAACCGTGTGAGTCCAGCATGGATGGGAACGGGGGAAAGGATTCGAGAGTAACTCGGAATCCCCCTGAATGCCTCTTTAAAGCAAATTCTTCTCGCTCGAGCGTGGATTCAATTTTTAGGACGCGAAATTGACTATAAATCCCGCCGTGAACAGCGAAACTCCCCCTCCGGGTAGAAACATGTCGTATTGGAAGTCTTACTGCGGAGAGCATTGCAAGAACGAATCATTACCTTTCCCGCGCAGTGCAACGATGCCGAGGCGGAGGCCTGGGGAAGGGAGGGAGGCTGATCCTAGAAAAGGCGAAGAGTCATTTTTATCCTTCAAGGTTCCATCAATGTCGTCAGGGGAGTTCCGCGTGTTTTCTCGGCTGTATGCAATTTCCTGCAATTACGCGGCCAAGACGGAGAAAAACTCATGATACGAGCTCGTCAGTCAACAGAAATGAGAGATTCGGAAACTTTAACTCTTTCTAAGAAAGTGGAAAACAATTTTTTTTTCCTTTTCAATAATGGTAAAAAAAGCACTTTTTCTCTGTCTAGTGTGCAAGAAGAGAGACTAGGGATAAAAGTCGTTTCATATGTTGAGAGAGAATGAGGGGGGGAAAGATTTTTCAAAATGGTAAAAATGTTCTTTTCAGAATTTTGTAAGACTCCAAAGGTGATTTTTCGACTCTCAGGGTAGTGAAAATTGCCTTTACCTGGGCTCTTCACCGGAGAAAGCGAGGCGACCGGAAAGATGCAGACGATAATTGTCCTTGAGTTCATCCTGGAGACCATGCACTTCCTCCAAGACTCCATCCTCCAAGATGTCATACTCCAAGATCATCTGCTGTCGGGAAACCTCTCGGTCGCGAAGGTGAGACGCCCGTCGACACTCGACCTCCTCAAGCTCTTCCGACTGATAGGGTTCCGTATGGAGTCGACGCCGAGAAGAAACCGGTGAAATACCATGCATACGCCCCATACAACCCAAATGCATTGGAGTCGACCGGCCATTCAATAAGACGAGAAAAAGAGCGGAAATCCTCCGTCTCGGAGGGGATGGACCCCATTAACAAACTAATCGTCCTTCTGGCGCGAAAGTGCGCCTGACCATGCTCAACGTCTCAGCGATGCCGGGGAGACATCTTTCAGACATGCCGATGCTGTGATGTCATGATCACGTATCCATCAGTGGATTTCATCGTAGAATGGTCTGGAATTACTCGGCAATGACACTAGTAGCGGTCAACAGGTAACAATAAATCCACTTAACTACATTTTTCAGCTCGTGAAAAGTTAATAGCCTATCGAATTTCACCTAAAATATTGTATATACTAGCGTCCAAAAGAAAGGTTAGAATGGTAATGTAGGTTTTGCCCACATAGTAGGAGCCGTGATGGGAATACATTTGCCCGTTGTTGAACAAGTCAACACCGCATTAAAGTTATTAGCATGTACTCGCGACCTTTGAGCACCGGGCCAGTCTCACGTCAGGAATATGCAAATTCTCCACTTATTTAAAATTTCTGATATGAATCGGTATGAAAGAGATTCATTCCAACCAGCATGTCATACGTGTCTAAAATAACATCAGCAATATGCTGAGGCTAGCGCAGGATGAAAGAACATGTTGAGTGCACAGAGAAAATGACAAAATATCATGTGTCACTTGGCGCACGTGTATGTGTCATGAGAGAATTTCTTCATATCGGCTGCGATATATTGTGCCACAAGGGTCGACACATTTCAATGCGTCTACAGATGCAGTAAGATGTGTCAGATGACACACTGGAAGAAATAACATCCCGACGGACTCGCCCAATTGTGTCCTATAGCACACTACAGTATGTGTCCATTGATACGTTTGGGTTTTATGCTGCGGCCACGAAATAACGTGCCATGAGGCTGAACATATATAAATGTACCTACTGATGTAGTAAGATGTGCCAAAAGACATGTTTCAGTGTGTCAAAACTCATGACACATTATTCCATATCGCCTAGACGAACCAAAACCCACTTTTTTGCGTCATTTGACACGCTGTTTTTTTGCGAAGGGTGCTCAAAGAGGTTGTGGCGCTACCCGTTGCTTTTCGCAATCTTGCGAAGTTTATTTTTGACGCCAGTATAGTTACTCTATTGCATAACTATATAATATTGTTAACTCTAGTTTCCGAAGGGTGCAAGGCTCCACTCAATGCATGATGGGTTAAGCGTAATGAAGCCTATTATGTCATCATCCCGACTTCCTTGACATTACGACGTTTCTTTCAATGTTAGTGCGGCTTCTACGCACCCTCCACATTTGCGTTCGTTCATTCCTTGGAGATGTGTTGCACATGACGTCCTCCTTTCCGTCGAGCTATGTCAAGCGGGCGGCCGAATTGATATCTACAACGTATGAGCATTCTACCCTCGTTAATTGGTTCGCAGTTCGTGAACGAGGAATGTAAGCATAAAGGGGAGAGGGCGCTGGAGAAGTTCCGCTTCAACCTGGAGAGGAAAGACTGGGTCTTGGAGAAGGATTTCCCCGAGGAAGGAATCACCATCAAGTCTGTGTACGATGAAGAGACAAAGGATTATTTCCTCTATACTGTGGTGAACATTTTTTTCATTTTTCTCATTCGGGTTTTTAATCCCCTCGAAAGAAAATAGTCAACTTCAGTCGAGAATTTCTTCAAATTCACATAGAAAACCATAAAAATCCACTTCAACTTGAGCAATTCTGTCACAATTCTGTCTGTTTTTGTGTCTGGGGACACAAAAACATGTGCGTCTGTCCACGGTGTAGAACGTGATATCCAGAGATTTTATATATATATATATATGTATTTATGTGTATATATGTATATATAGGGACATTTTGGAGCGGGTTATCGACCCCGGCGAAGTAATATGTGAGGTTGCCGAGAGATGGTACTCTTATATCATGTACCCGTACTAGACGGGACAAGGGAACTCAAGCCATAGGATGGCCGTACAAGGTACAGTGGGTACGGCGGTCTAGTAGTTTGAATGTCGAGATCACAATCTGCTAGACGGTGGTGTCGTGGGTTCGATTCTTTGTACGGCCATCCTCTGGCTTGAGTTCCCTTGTCCCGTCTAGTACGGGTACATGATATAAGAGTACCATCTCTCGGCAACCTCATATATATATAGATATGTCAAACTTGACATACCGTGAACCCTCAAGTTAAAGTCACTTGTTCTAATGTTTACATATTTGTCAGCGAGCAAACCCTAATAATTTAGTTTAATGTGCATTCTATAGATTGAATGATAGCCTGGAATTAGTATGAGATTACAACACTTGAAACAGAAATTAAGCCTATTTTGTGACGGTGTCGAATGTGACAGGAGATTGATGTGACACGTTCTGAAAATGCATTTCGAAAAGTGAAATCTGTACGTGATTTCGAATGAGTCGGTGCGGAGGATCGTGAAGAACAACCTTAGACTTTGGCTTACAAGCTGCAAACGGCGAAAGTATTGACTGAGGCGATGAGGGCGCCAAGACCTGAACGGTGCAAGCGGTTGTTTCCGCGCTAAATGCCCACCTCTTGACCGAGCTCCATCAGCGCGGATTCCTCTCGAACGGACATTATCTCGACGAGCAGCGTCAGTCGAAGTGCGAGGGCGATCAGACGAAATTCCGAGCTCCTCGTAGCGCTTCATCGCTTTCTTGACCGTCAAATCCGGAGCATTTAGCCATCGAGATATCTGGGCAATTCGCATTCCTGAGTCGAGGAAACACTTGATGGATTCTCTTTTCGCTTTCATTCTGAAAAAACCAAAACGGCGGTTATTACCTATAAGAGTTTGAAATCTGTGTAAAAAGCAATAATGTCATGAGAATGGCCGAGAGGGAAGATTGGATGGAGGAGAGAACGAAAGAAAGCCAGGGGACGGACCGGGAATTGAACCCGGGCCTCTTGATTACCCGTAAGGTATGCTTCCATTGCACCACCGAACCCAGGACATTCCCTCGTGCCTCTCACTGACATCCTTATCATGACAATAAGAAAACTTTGAAATAATATGTTTGCGAACTTTTGGTAAAGCATTTTTTACTGCACAAAATTAACTTTTAAAAATCCCACGAGCTTTTACAAATCGCACCCTGTAGAATCCACACCGTCAAAATGAAAAAATAGAGGGTCCATTGCATGAAGCCCACTCCCCATGCCCTCACTTCCGTTGCAGGCCACATTGGACTACGAGAACGAATGGCTGGCCAAAGACATATTAGAACACACGCTGGACGCCACCGCTGAATGGTCCTCCGACTGCAAGGAACTCACAGTCGTTCAGGTTGGTCCTAATTGTATCTCTCTGGAGGTTGAGGGGTTCGTACCGTTTTGTATTAACTATCTAAGAAAAGTCCGACTCGGTAATGGTAATTCAGCTTAGGGCTTCAAATGTTTAATTTTTTTAAATTCTGGGCTGGGAATGATAAGAATGGACGACTACTACGAGTACTTCCAGTTCGTGGATTTTGTAGTGATAAACTTTCCAAAGCATTTCAAGACGTAGACATTATTGATTTGCGAACGAAACAGATTTCCCGATTTGGATGTTATTTAAATCATCTGGGATTGCAATTCGATCTCATTTCAACAACAGTGAAACAACTACCTCTTGTATGGAAACCGAAAATCACATTTCCTGAAATAGGAATTTATATTTAAGTCATAATTTTAGCAATTTGAAACTGTGCCTATTTCCTAATTTCGATGTTAGGGATGAATTCTGATTTCACCAGAATGAGATACTGAGCGGCCAAAATAGCTCTGGTTTTTCTCAGCTTCCAATTTAGATGCGGAGCTGACCCGCAAATACCGCGAAATAAGAAAGCGATTTGCGAATTTCACCACAAATGCTCAAAATCCTGTTGGTTCATGATCTGAATATAGATGTTTGGAATTCCTGGTAGAAAAATCCTATCAGATCTTGTAAGGTTTTTGAAACGTTAAATTCTTCTAAGATTTGTATAGGAATCCTATAGGATTCTTACAGGAATCCTTAGGAATCCATGGGATCCTATAAGAATCCCATAGGTTCCCAAAGGAACTCTATGGGAATCCTATAAGAATCCTATTTGGTTTTTATGCTTCAAAAATTTAATCTTATACTATAGGATCTTTTCGTAAGGGTGAAATCTTATCCATTCATGTAATCGGAGAGAATGAAAGTAATAAATAACGAAACCACGAATACTAATATAGGAACACTTTTAGACAGGCATGGAACAGTTTGTGCCACTCGAGATCGAAATCTGTATAGCCGTTTCTTTTTGAAGAAATTTTCTCCCGTCAGTCGACTTTTGAAAACCCCCTGTTTTGCAAAGAAACTTTGAATCATGAGGAAGTACATAAGCTTAGGTTAAAGATCGTAATTTTTGTTCGGGTCGGGTAGGGTCGAGTCGATTTTTTTTTTTGGAATTCAAGTTCGGTGTAGGCCATGATTTGAATCGGGCCTATAGGGTCGGAATCGGCCCGTGCATGGCTCTAAAAAAAAAAGACTTTCCAGCTGTTTTGAGCGAATAATAAATTAGCGAATAATATTTTGAGAACTCTGACTTCAAACAAGGTAGGCACAGCCAACCATGTCTACCCTGGCGAGCTGCCATTGCCAAATCGTGGATGGCATCGTAATTTTTTCTAACTTTTAAAAAAGCGATTATTAGAAAATGTAAAAATTTAAACTGGAAATAAAAGTTGATTCAATTTTAAGGCGTTTTTAAATGTTTTTTCCAACTAGTCTTGCCTTAATCCTCTACCTCCTACCAATCCTGAGATATGAGCTGCAAAAATCGGTGAGGGACTTTTTGGTTCACCCTGTAGGAGTGGATTGGAGCTTGAAGTAAATAGGTTGGACTTGTGTTGGATTCAAGACTCGCAAAACCCTTCAAATTCCTGCGAAATTGATTTTCAGCTGTACACGATGAAAATTTGTTCACTTCACAACTATTTGGCTCTCCTGTTGACAGCTGTGGCATGCCGACCGGTGTGCATTGGTGCATCAGGTGTTCCAGAAGAGAGCGCTGGGAATCTCCGTGATGCGGGATGTAGTCTACTCCATGTACGGGCATATTGAAGGCGACAGGCGCACCACTGTTATGTTCAGCTCCAAATGGCCTGGGCTGGAGCCAACCAAGAAGATGGTCAGGTGAGGAGACGTGAAAGTGGTTATGAGCCTATGTGATTATGTGACGATCTGACTATGTGGCGATTAGGCTTCGTACATGTCTCGGCTAGGCAATTATCGAAAGTGCCGTTGCGGTCATGCCTTTGTGGCAAATAGCCCTACGCGTTACTGACTGTCTGACCATCTGACTGTATGTCTATGTAGCGATGCTCGTGTCTCGTCGAGGCAACACTTTAAAGCGTTGTTGCGGTCATGCTCCCATGGTAAATGCCTGTAGCACTACGTCTTACTGGCAGGTTATAAAAATCAACATACGTGTATCATGCATGGAAAGGTCTATTGGGATGATAGATGTCTGTTTCTTGGATGTTGATGACCATTGGCCGTTCGGCCAGCGACATCCTAAAGCCGCCCTACATCATCCTGACAATTCTGCTTCAAACAATATGCATACTCGAAGGAAATGTCACCTAAAGTTGTTTTCTGACGAATCTGGACGAAATTTAGCATTTCCTGATTGGGTCATGAACGTTCTCGCCAAAAGGAAATCATGTATTTCCCTATTAATAATATATCATGGAGAATCAAATGAATCTCAACATGACGTATGGCCTCATCGGAACTATTCACGGAAAAAATATTGTATCCATGATTTTTCTTGACGGCAACCTGGGATCTTTTGAGTGTATATGTCGATCGCACTGGACAGACATAGCTTCACTCCATTTCAGGCACGAACTTAACCCTTTCAGACTTGAATTAAGGCCGCTATCAGAATAACTTCCTTTTTTCCATTTTTGAGCTTTTTCGTGAATGTAATTAAAATGTTCATGCTTTATATGTAGTTTTCATATTTTGCATAATTTTACCAAATCATACTATATATTATATATTTAATTAAATAACTTCAGATTATAAAACTAATGGGTGAAAGAAGGCCACTGATTTAACTGAGTCATGCATAATACCGCCCATTGTAGCGTAATATGGAGCGCAAAGTCACCAGAATCCTGAGAAATTACCATAGACACTATGTAAATGCAATGTCCATTGGAGTGGACCCCAGGTCTGAAAGGGTTAAACTGGTTCAGATCCTTGCATTTCGTTTTTGGGCACGTGCTTCCAGCAGTCTTAGCATACATTAATCTATTTGGTGGACGGTCAGAGTTGTAAAGGGATAATCCGCATATCACTTCTGCCTTATGGTAGAAATTTCTTAATGGTCACGAGATTTTCGGGCAGAGGCGGATTCTCATTAAAGCAGTAAAATTGATCACCAAAGAAACGATCACATATAGTTACGAAATATTTCCTCTTTGCTATTTTTAGGCATACAGAAACAGGAAAGGTACTAGTGCTTGGGCATTCATAACCCACCCTGTATGTTATTTACCTATCAGTCTGTGCCAAAACAAGACATTTTTTGTATTTGGTAACTTATAAGTTAAAGTTCATTAGATTTTTCCCCTAAACATTCTAAAACGAGATGAACAGATTCGTTCTAATACGTGGTCCAGGTTGGGAAAAAGGTGCATCGACTTTTGAGAATGAAACGAAATTGAAAACTTTGATGATTGTTCAAACAGGCTTTAAAAACGGAACCCTCAAGCCATTTTTCTATTGGCTGATGAGTAAATTCATAAGTTCCTCTAGTAACTAAAACATTTCAACACTCACCAAGGTGTTGAAAATGCAGAGGATATTGATGCGTTTTATTCTAATGAGTTAACTCTGATAATAATGCATGGCTTTGCCTCATAAGTAGTTCATATTTCTGCAAATTTTCGCTCTCCTTTGCTGAATCAGAGGGACGGTCAATAAAGGCAGCGGCCTGATGCTACACCCCGACCCGGAGCACCCGTCCACCCGAACCCTCATGCACTGGATGGCCTCGTTGGACATGAAGATTCCGCTCCTCCCGAAGGGCATCCTCGTGCCCATTTATGCGATAGGATGCCGGCAGTACATCCTCGATCTTCGGCGTTACCAGGAGGCCAGGTGGAGGATGCACCTCGACGCTATGCGAGGCTGAACTCAGATAAAAAACGTCCTTGACCTAGCTCTGAAACCATAGGGCCACTTGAGGACAGGAATAATCGAAAAATGTAATAATGAATTTTTAAATATATTTTTTCATATATCAATATGTTAATGGAATCAGAACAATTTCGGGGTTGAGTTGTATGCATAGATATATTTTTCACCATTTCCAAGGAGAAATTATTTGTTTCTATCGTATTAAACAGAACTCTTCCATCTCTTCATGCAATTTTCAAATGAAAATAAACTGTTGTCCATCTGCTTTTCGAATAGGGAGCAATGGAATTTCTGGTTGTATGTGGTCATAATTCCTTCATGACGAGACAATGCGGTTGAAGATATCTACAATTTAAAAATGGATTCTAGAGAGAATTCCAGAAAGACGAGAAGACGGTTGCAGAATGAACGTAATTCAACACAGACAAGACCGTTGGGAACCCTCTTTTCCAATCATGAATTTCCTGTTTACACGCTTCTTTAATAAATATTTTTGTGCTCCTTGGTGTTTTCCTGATCTCATCTACGTTCATCAGGGAGTTTCAATGGTGCTCCTTGAGATAAAATAGGTAGCACAGCTTCTGCCATCGTTACCTTTTCATTGCCCCTCGAGTCTCTATTCAAGAAGGGAGAGGCGAGTGTCCTGTTACGCGGATGAGGGAGACACTGCCCACAAGCGAGTCTGTCTGCATGATCTGGAAATGTTTCCTGGATCCATCACCCTCCCATCAATTCACAATTTGACATGAAGTGTCACACATTAGCATTCTTTGGCATAAGTTGGCTTATATTTGACATCAAGTTTTAATCATGGAAGCCGTGTCAGGGATTCGGCTTGCTGAGCTCTCCAAGAATGAGAAATGAACCAGATAATTATGGATGAAAAATAAGAAGGGGTTCTAACCGAGTTTAGAAAGGGAATGTCCAAGATGACATGCACCGAAGGAAGTCCTTTGTAATATTTCATGGAGTGCTCTCTTATGGGCGCAGGTAGGAAGGAAGATTTCTGGATGGGAAGCAGAACGGTTGAGAGAAAAACTCATTTGATGACAATCTTATTATATAAGGGAAGCTTATTTTTAAAAGGAACTTAATTTTTTTTTAAGCGAAGAAGATGGGAGAAATGTTTGTTCCATGAATCAAAACTTTGACTTTTTATTGAGGGCATTTCAAGAGAATAAAAGCTTTTCGTCCTGCCGTAAATAAACGCAAGTTTTGGATCCGCTTATAGGAATTCGAAGGTCGTTGCTGGGATTCGTTTGTGTTTTTTCCATGCACGGTTTGGAAAGGGATCTTTGGATCTTGGCAGCATTTTCCTGCCGAAACCGCCTACTTCTATAAAAGCACTCGTACAGTCAGTACAATTTCATAATCAATGACTTTGAGCACAAAATGGATATTGGAGTGTGGAGGAAGAGGAAATGGCAATACCTTTGGTTAAGAATATTATGCAGAACAGAGGGTCCACAATACAGCAGAAAGGCACGAAATTCATTTGCCTTCCAGCGTTCTATGAGCTCCAGTGATAAGGGGCGACGACTGAATTCAGAAGGTGATATATGCTGCAGTTTGGTTAGACGAGCTGTTAGAGCCCTTGTTTGAACAGATGGCAGTTTGTAAGGAACAGGGCCCTTCAACCAATACAAGAACAATTTTCTAAACCCCCCTTAACAAATTAGATGCATGTAGTCAAGTGGCAAGCTGCTGATGAGGCCCACCTCTAGGCACAATAATGGAGAAACCCCTGTGATGCACCTCCTGCACTTGGTCAGCTAATGATTGGTTAGTGCGAAGTGGAGCATCCATCTCTGGAAACACCACTCTTCCATCACAGTAGTCTCCTTCTTGGATGCATCTTTCACAAGAAAAATATCCACTGTGACCTTTGATTTGTTTTATAAATGCCCGAGCTGGTGCATCACATATAATGGCTTTGAGTTTCAGATTAAACTTCACATTCCCCACCAAGAAGCCATCAGACAGCAGTTGTGAAGTTTCAGTTATGAAATCTTTTAGAAATTCCTCAGATGATGCAGGCTTTGAATGACCATGATATGAAGCAACCATGAAAGGGTTTGTATCCAGTTCAGGAACAATGCAGAGAATTGACCATAGTTGACTTGCTGAGCTCCTTTATTATTTTACACCCAGGGATCAGTTGAGAAAGTTGAGGAAAATTTTGCTGCAGAAAGTTTCATTCTTGATACACAGTCGATTCCTTTATCTGACATACCGTTTATATGAAATATTAATGTGCTGTTATGATTTCTTAGCCATGAGATGCATTATGAAAAACATCCCATGAATGCATGTTATCGGAATAACATGCCTAAAAGAATAAACTTTTCTCAAAACTGAAGAGCAATTTTTAAATAGCTTTGAAAAACAAACCACCTACATGCTTTCGTTTTCCCGCAAACATACCGAAAGAGGTAACTGGTCCTGGGAGAATCCCAAGAAGCGGAGTCGATTGCATATTCAGAGAATTGTCGCATTTTGAAGTTCCACAGAAAAGTTGCATTAGAATGTTGTCGCTACGATTTCAATGTCTTCAGCGCCAACGTTACATATATGTTGATAGCAAATGATGCAAAAAAAATTTATAGAAATGTCGCAGCACCTTTCCAAGTGGAAACGTTGAAGCAATGTTTTATTAATGTTGTACATCAAATTGCAATATAGAGCAACATAGGCAACATTTCGGATACGTTACATCAACATACTGTGTTACTTGGGAATGCGCAAAAAAAACATTTTCGTCCCGTGAAGCGCAAGTCTGGTATAGTGGATGCAAAACGATGGAAACGATCGAAGAGGTAATGACTTATTCAGGTGATACTTATTCACGTCACTAGAAGGCGCTCTAGAAGAGAACATATCTGCGTATTTTTTATGGTCGATGTCTACGGTCGATGGGATAGACTTTTTAGTGAAGTCACTGATCAAGATGGCTGAAGTTGCTGGTAAGTTCAAATCGGTATTATGAAATCACGAAAGGTGGATGTTGTCTTGATCAACTTACTACCTTGTCACAGTAATATAATTATTCATGATCCTTCCATGACTTGTAGGGAAAAAAAAGTTAGTCCTCAGCTTTAGGGACCATAGAATAACTTTTAACAAATGGTTTCGTTAGCCATACTGCTATTAGGAAACATAGGTTTACGTTGTTCCAGGCTCATTTTCACCTTTGGGTCATTCGTTGAAGAATCGCATGCATATGATTTTCAAGACATCGATGTATCCCGAAATGCAGTGAGAACTGGATTAATGAACAAGTCTAAACATTTCGACAATTGCATATACTCTTTGACACAGCTATTTTTAAAAATAGCAGAAATTAATTATTCAGCCTGTTATGGGATTCATTGTGAAGGGCCATATTACTCCGCACGAAAATGCCTCATAGGATTCCTATATATTCCTATATATTTAGGAATATATATTAATCCTATAGGAACATATAGGAATCCAACAGGTTCTTATAGGGCCGATACGGAACACTACAGGCCCCATAGGGTTGTGTTTGGGACCTATATGGTTCCCGAAAGAATCTAGGGGGTTCCCTATAGGACATCTAGGTCTTCCTTTAAATCCTGAAGGACATAAAGCGTTCACTATAGGGCTTACACGGAACCCAATAAGGCTATAGGGTTCTGTTTGAAGTTCTCATCTAGGCCACTAGATGGAAGTATTGGGTTCTCGCATTTCTCAAAGTACACAAAAGTGCCCTCCACTTACCCATGGAATAACCTCTCACAGGAGAGTTTTGTACATCCGCAAATGTCTCGCCTTACCTCATTATAGCAATTAGATAAACTTTGACACTTCCTTATTTGCCATCTCCATCTTCCAGCTAGAAAATTGGAGCACAGGCCAGAAATATGTCCATATTTCCTTTTAAAACCACGTTCGAGAAAAAATTTTCTTTATCGAAACGAATTTTAGTAAGGAGACTTGCGCGCAGGTTCTGTCTGCCGTTTCCTTAGGTCGAGAGAAGAATGATACGTCTCTCTACCGAAGGAAGTGGACGTGCAATCGAGCGACATATAGGGGCTTAGGCAATAAATTACGCAGTCCCAAGCATAACTAGGTATTAGTAATGCAAGTGCCCCTACCAAGGGAAAACCCATAATCGGTATTTGATTTACACCAGAATGGTGTGCCAATATTAACCCCAGTTGTCACTCACGCCTGGGTTTCGAAACCCAAAAAATCCTCCCCAAATCCTATAGGTCAGGAGTTATATGACACTATAGGGATCCTATAGGATTTTCATGCTTCAAAAACCTATAGGTATATTAAAGTCTGAAGGTTTCCTATAGGAAATATCCGTAAGTGACCCCAATGGCCTTATTACCCCAATATACCCTATAGTCCATGTATTGGGAAAAAGCTCACTTTTGGGAGCGACTTGACAGCAAAGGTAAGACTAATCCTTTCAATAGCCTTAATTATCATCTAGTTAAAGTGATAGATCCGAGGGAACAATACACTTTCGAAAAGATCCTACAGGATTCTATAAGATTTTTGAAACATAAAAATTTCATAGAATTCCTATAGGATTGTTATTGGATTCCTATAGGATCCTATACAAAATCCTATAGGATCCTAAAGTAACTCTATGGGATTCCTATAAGAATCCTATAATAATTTTATGCTTCAAAAAACTCAGCGGATCCTATAGAGTTTTTTCTTATGGGGAGCATAACCCTTACGGAAATGTCCTATAGGAAACCGATAGTTATTCATTATAGGAAACCTATAGACTTTCCTATAGGCTTTTGAAACACGAAAAACCTATAGGAGCCTAAAAGGATCCTATAGGATCCCTATATGGTCTTATAATTTTCCTGACTTATAGGATTCAGAGAGGATATTTTGGGTTTCAAAACCCAGGCATTACGACGGAAAAGGCGATCGGGGTTAATAATGGCGCAGCATTTCGATGTAAATCAAAAACCGATTAGGATTTTTTCCATGGTAGGGACACATGCATTATTAATACCAATAATTAATAGCATAATTTATAGCCCCACCCTACATGTGCCACTAGATTGCAGGTCTACTTCCTTCGGTACGAAGAAGTAGTATTCTTCTTTCGACCTAAGGAAATAGAAGAAAAAACCTGCGAACACGTCTTTTTACTAAAACTCCTTTGATTTAGACTCTACTCAGTTTCGTACGTGCTTTTCAAAAGGAATAAGGGCATATTTCTTCACGGGACTCCATGATTATATCTGGAAAATGGGGATGACAAATAAGGAACTGTCAAAGTTGATTGATTGCTACAATGAGACAAGGCGAAGCATTTGGGGACGTACAAAAAAAACCCAGGCATTACGACGGGAAAGGCGACCGGGGTTAATAATGGCGCAGCATTTCGGTGTAAATAAAATACCGATTAGGAGTTTTTCCGCGGTTGGGACACACGCATTATAAATGCCAGTACTTCGTGGGTCTGCATTATTTATGGCCCCGCCCACATGTGTCGCTGGATTGCACGTCTACTTCCTTAGGTAAAGAGAAGTAGCATTCTTCTCTCAACCTCAGGAAATAGAAGACAGAACCTGCGAACACGTCTCTATACTGCAACTCCATTTGAATAGAGTCCACTTAGCTTCGTACGTGGTTTTCAAAAGGAATAAGGGCATATTTCTTCACGGGACTCTATGATTATATCTGGAAAATGGGGATAACAAATAAGGAAGTGTCGAAGTTTATTGATTGGTACAATGAGGCAAGGCGAGACATTTGGGGACGTACAAAACTCTCTTGTGAGAGATGATTCCTTGGGTAAGAGGAGGGCACTTTTGTGCCCTTTGAGAAATGTGAGAACCCAATACTTCCATCTAGTGGCCTAGAGGAGAACATCAAACGGAACCCTATAGGCCTTTAAGGTTCCGTATAAGACCTATAGGGAACCCAATAGGTTCCCAATAGGTATAGGGAACCAAATAGGGTTCCGTATAGGCACTATAGGAAACCTATCGGTCCTATAGAGAACCTTATAGGTCCTATATGGAACCCTACAGGTCCAATAGAGAATCCTATAGGTCCTATAGCGAACCCTATAGGTCCTATAGGGAACCCTTATAGGTTTTATAGGGAACCCTATAGGTTCTATATGGGGATCTATAGGTTCTATAGGGAACTCTATAGGTCCCAAACTGAACTCTATGGGGCACATAGGATCGTATAGGATTCCTTTAGGTTCCTATAGGATTCCTTTAGTTCCTATAGGATTCCTATAGGATTCCAATATGTTCCTTTTTGGAATATATAGGAATCCTATAATACATTTTCGTAAGGGTTGTTCTAGGTCTTTCTAGGTCATAGGGTAGGTAGAAGGACTTTGGTTGATGCGTACCGGTATGCTAGTGAATGCGAATTAGTTTCATATGTTTTTGTTGCAGGGAAACGGCAAAGAATATTTTAACTCAATTTTCCGGTTTAGAGTGGTTCGGTCCAATACAAGACGCATAGACTAATACCATTTCTGTGGGATTTCCCTAGGGGAATTTCCCTGAGACCAATGCCCAATGTCCCTAAGACAAATTTCTTATGAAGAAAAGAAAATTTACAAACTAATTTGGGGAGCTTAGGAGAGCATAAATTGAACTGTTTTTGACCTCTTATAATTTCGGACAATTGTATTGAATACAATAAAAAAACTTTCGGGAAACGTTAAAAGAAATGTTCTTTGAACATTCATTTATGGTTTCCGCAGCTAATTGGAATTGCGTAATCAAATGCGTCGTTGAATAAAGAATTGAAGTGCAACCTCGAATAAATTGACGTTAAACCCTAGAACTAGAGATGCGTAAGAGTGACCGCCATCGGCTACGTGGAGGGGGGGGGGGGGAGCGGGAATGCAGACCACAACGTGGGCAACCTTGGAATCCGGTAATAAAAACGACTGCGTTATTTCTAAAGCCTGCCAGTGTTTCTTCACCGCTTCGCTTGAACGTCTCCTTCCTGTCACGGTGAATTTCGGTGCGCCAGACGGAGTGAGTTCAGATTGATGGGGAAACGGGGAGAAAGGGGAGTTGGAGGGATTCTAGAGTTAGACGGAATCGCTCTGGATGCTTCTTTACAGCAGATCCTTCTCGCTCGGGCGCGGATTTGATCCTCAGGATGCGAAAGTTTATATGTATGTAGTAATGTGGAATTTCTTTTTTAAGGCTTTCCCTTTCTTCAACCGCAACTTCGACATCTCTTCACCCCACCCCCCTAACTCTATGGAATACACTAACGTTAAGCCTAGGCCTAACCGGCGGACTGACGTCGGGTTACGCCTAGGTCTACCACTTCTCATTCAAAAGAAACTCAATTCTTGACTTACTAAGCCAATTACGCTCATAATGATAAATCCAATGGTGTACGAGATTTTCGTCGAGGACGTGTAACGTTACGCCAAACGCAGGCTTATTTGTTCTGCTATGACAATTCCATGAATAACCAAGCAGCTTTGGCTTTGGGGTTACCTCAAGAGCTGTGTCTACCGCAATGGCCTCACCACATGCCACGAGTTGAAGGAAAGCCTACAGCAGGAAGTCCGCTCCATATCCCCTGATATGCTTCGAGCAGCAGTTTCATATGTAGTGTCGCGATTGGAAATTAAGAATATCTCGAAGGAAAGCACATCGAACAGCTATCACGAAAACGTATGATATTCGTGGACCATAAGTACCATCTAATGTGACCATAATGTGACCTTAAACTACCACACGACTGTGAACGTTTTATTCCGCGTGCTCAAGTTCGTCTACGCACAAATTTCGCATCGGTTTCCTGTTGGTAGTCATCTGAACATCGGATGTGACTTTTGAAATGCCATGTTGATAGTGTGGGAAAACACAAGGAAAACAACATGTTCATCACGAAGCAACATCTTTCTTTTATTGATTCCGATGAATTTTAAAGTAATCAACATTACTTCGCAACCAAAATATATATATATATATGTTTAAAACTTGTTTCAGTATCTGAATTTCTCCGCTACAGAATTTCACCGCGATATTTTGCAGCCTTCATATCTGTAATATAATTTAGTTTCGCAGTCTCCCTCTTTTTCACCCAATTAATATTTTTTTCTCCTAACTGTGTCATAAGGGCATTTAAATTTCCTTTTCGCGTGTATTTCACAATTGTTAACCGTCTGTCGAACGGTCCATGAACTTCATGTTTTCCGACTGCATGGAGTGCATGCCACCATGGCAAATCTCAAAAGGTTGCTAAATCAGGGAGTGCAATCACTTCGCACTCATCAAATTGCACTCGAACGAAATCTTGATTGAGCCGATGAATGCGCATCGAGGCTTTGATCTCTTCTCCCTTCGCGTAGAAACATGATATAATAAACGCCTTACCGAGGAGAGTCCTGCAAGAAAGACTGGCGTGATCCATCCCGCGCTGTACAAAGACACCGAGGCGAAGTCCAGGGGAAGCGAGCGATTCCGATCCTAGAAAAGGCGAAGAGCCAAGACTTCATCCTTCGAAGTTCCATCCATGTTGCCAGAAGGAGTTCCGCTGCATGCTGTTGCATGTTGTATATTCTGTGCTGTATGCAATTTCGTGCATAAAAGAGGCCAGATGGAGAGCACCTCCCGCACACGAATTATCCACGTCGTACAAAAGCCCGGATTTCTATCGGTATGAAAAGCATTCATTCCAATGTGCATGTCATACCGTCAGAAAAAGGCATCGTAGATATACCGAGGCTAACACAGGAAGAAGGAACATGGCGATTAGGGTGCTCAAATAGGTGGTTCCGCCACCTGTTGCGTTACGCTACCTTGTAACGTTCCTTTTTTGATGGCGGTATAGCTACTCGATCGCATTATACTTTAGCTCTAGCATAACTAGCATAGTTAGTGGAGATATGCTCTCGGAGCATAGATCCCCTCAATGCATGATGGGTTTAAGCGCAGTGAAGCGGTTCTCGTAATCAACCCGATTTCCTTGACATTGTGATCGCGAAAAAATGCCGATATATTCAAGGCTAGCGCGACCTTCACTCGACCCTCCGCATTTACGTTCCTTCATTTCTTGGAGAAGTGTCACGTCGTCCTTTCCCACGAGCATCGTAAAGCGGAAGTTCGCCAACCACGACAACCACGAGGTATGCGTATTCTACTCTCATTAACTGGTCCGCAGCTCATGGACGAGAAATACAAGCATGAAGGGGAGAGGGCGCAGGAGAAATTCCGCTTTAACCTGGAGAGGAAGGACTGGGTCCTGGAGAAGGATTGCCCTGAGGAAGGAATCACCATCAAGTCTGCATACGATAAGGAGACAAAGGATTATTTCTTATATACAGTGGTGAATAATATTTTAATTTTTCTCATTCAATTTCTTAATCCCCTCGAAACGAAAATGTCAACTGGATCGGAGAATTTCTTTAAATTCACGTCGTAAACACTAAAAATGATTTTCAACTTGAAGAACTCCCTTATGTGAGAAATGAAATATAATACGGAAAACCAGTCGGACGACGTCATTGAGAAATACCTCCAGAGTGTCGTCCCATAAGAGGTAACCCTTACAAAACGTCCACCTCCCAAGTGGATTTAGAACCAGGTGGATGTCCCCCGAGGCCGTATTTCCAGTTGTTTGAACGATGGTCACCGGGGGGAAGTTCCATCTGGCTCGAAATACGTGATCGTGAATGCATAGGTGGATTTCCACGGGGTCGGACGTCCAATTGGTTGAAAATGTTTGACCAGGTGGATATTGGTTGAACGTTTCGTAAGGGAATTCAACGACCTCTCTTGTCCCTTCCTCGTTCGCCGTCCCAAACCGGGAAGAAAAAAAGATTCTCTCGGAAATAAATGCCTGTCTTCCATTTCCTGTAGCATTTTGACACTTCGTCAGGCGCGGCCCATACAATCGAAACAATTACAGAATTTATAAATTCCACCCCGTAGAAAAGAAAGAATAAAGGGTTGATTGCATGGAGTACAATTTGTCTGCATTACCCATTCCCTCACTTCCGTTGCAGGCTACGATGGACTTCGAGAGCGAATGGCTGAACCAAGACTTGCTAGAACACACGCTGGACGTCACTGCTGAATGGTCCTCAGACTGCAAAGATTTCACAGTCGTTCAGGTTCGTCCCAATTGTGTCACTAGGGGAGGCTGAGGGGTCCGTCTTATTTTATTAATCGAATGATCAAAGTCTGACATGGTAATTGAGGCTTACATCGCTAGGTTTCAAATGTTCTAGATTTCTGGATTGGGAGTGATCAAAAGTCAAGAGTACTTCTAGTCCTTCTAGTTAGTCTATTTTGTCGAGTGAGAAATTTTCCAAAGCTATCCCGAAGTTCTGTAGAGGAAGATCCATTTGCGAAACCGAAACTGGTTTTGCGATTTGGATGCAATTTCCATCGACTGGCAATGCAATTCGATCTCATTGTATGGTCAGTGAAAGAACTATGACCCGAGAATCCTATTTCTTTGACAAGAATTCATATTTATGTTATATCTATTCATGATATGTACCTGTACCTATCAATGGGTGCGATAGCTGTTCTTTTACCTTTCTTCAACCCCTTCCGGTGACAAAAATTCAACAGTCTCGCGTTCCTCTCTGAGAGCATCAACAGGAACGAAATTCGGCATACTTCTTCCTGTCTCAACACAGAATTGCTGCAACAAATTTGAAGTTCCATCTCCCGGGGTTGCGGAGATCACTGAATCTCGCTTTTGGAAGATGTGAATTTCGTTCCAGTATTATTTCTTCTCCCCCCCTTGGGCAACCGCTCCTGGGAAGTTTTAGGAGGAAAGAGACCAAATAAACTAAAGATTGTGAGCTGTAGAGGACAAAAGTGTCATTTTTGTTGCTTCCAGTGCCCCATTTCGCCCTGTAAAATAAATTACATGCCGTTAGTTTAGGCTTAGCAAGATGGCTCCAGTCCCATCCTCCAGGGTTCCAGTATCGTGCCCGCATCCAGTATCGTGCCCGCTTACAGTATCGTGCCCACTTACAGTATCGTGCTCGCATCCAGTATCGTGCCTTACTTATCCCGGATTCAAGACTTCTTTGACACTAGCATCGTTATCTGGATCTTCTCTTTTTAATCTAGGAGACATGATTGTGATGAATTCATGGGATGAGCTGAGATTGAAGCAGTGGTTTTGCAGTGGGCGATGAATTTAGCGGAATTCGGAGGTATCTCGTCCGGACACCCCTAAATTACCATGATGGCGGACAGCTCGTATGTCATGCTTTCTAACGGCACTTTCATCTCGGAACGAGTAGAGACGATTCGAAGAACTCTGGATAGGCATAATGTTCCCCGACCGCACAGAAATGTCACATGAAACTCGAAAAATACATATATTGGGTCTAACAGTACAGGTTCTGTTACATGGGCCATGAGAGACTAAATAGCCTGCGACTGGCATAACGTTACACGTCCTCAACGAGGTGTCTCGAAGACGAGGGATTTATCCTCATTTGCCTAATTGGTCCGTAGGCCGAGGAATGAGTATCTTCTAAGGAGAAGAAGGTTATATAAGGCCTTCCCCAAAGACAGTCCGTCTGTTAGGCTTAGGCCTAACATTACTGAGTTCCGTAGAGAAAGAGGGGTGGGGAGGAAGGTGGTGAGGTTGAGGTTGAAATTGGGTTGATGTTGAGGAAAGTTAAACCATTTAAAATAGGTTTTCACATGACAAAATGATTTCATAATTTCGATATAAGGGATGAAATTCGATTGCATCGCGCGGAAATAGTAATGCTTTGAAGATTGAAGTGATTAGGTTGTACAGGTATCTGTCGTGCATTCATTACTAGCAAAACCCTAGAACTCGGTGCCAATTTCATTTGCAGCAGTATAGGAAACAAATTTGTCATCTTGCAACTCCTTGGCTCTCCTCTTAACAGCGATGGCCTGCCGACCTGTTCGTCTTGGCGCATCAGGTGTTCGAGAAGAGAGCGCTGGGAATCTCCGCGACGCGGGACGTAGTCTACCTCATGCAAGGGCGCATTGAAGGTGACAGGCGCTCCTCTGTTATGTTCAGCACTGAGTGGCCGGGACTGGAGCCGACGAAGAAGATGGTCAGGTGAGGAGACGTCAAAGTGGCAATTTCGCTATGTGACTATTTGAATAGGTGGCAATGTGTCTAAGTTCCTGTCTCCGCAAAGCAATAATTTAAAGCGTTGTTGCGGTCATGCTTCCATGGGAAATACCACTACTTATCACTGGTAGGTTACGAAAATCATGATAGCATGGAAAGGTCGTGCGGGATGACAGATTTGTTTTTCTTGACTGTGGGTGACGATTGGTGGACATTGAGTCAGTAGCATCCTCGACTGCCCTCGAGACACCCTCACAATCCTACAGAATCAAGCAAAATACCTACTCAAAGGAAATGTCTCTGAGAGCGGTTTCGATTCGAATCAAGGAGGAACTTAACATTTACAGAGTTGGTCCAAAATATTCACGCCAAATCGAAATCTGGTTTTCCTTGCACAAATAATTTTTCATGGAAGTAGCTGAATCTCAACACGACACAGGGATTCTTGGTAGTCATTCATAAATTATTTTCGATGCTTCCACGGTTATTCTTGATAGGAACTTGGAACCTTTGAGTGCGTCTATCGATCGCATTGGACGAAAATGTTTTCAGTCCTCTTTCGACACAATCTTAACTGGCTCAGGTCCCTGAATTCCGCTTTTTCGCACTTGCTTCCAACTGTTTTAACATGCAAAAATCCATTTGGTTGCGGTCAGAATTTAAGATGAGTCGTATTCATTGACATTTCCCGCCTCGTGAACAGGATGAAAATATTTTGAACGTCAAGCCGTTTTTAGGCAGAGAAGGATTCATGCTAAAAATCAGCCGATGTTGATCATTAATGGGACACAAAATATTTCCCCCCCCCCCTATTTTTAGGCATTAGAGAAATAGGAAAGCTACAAGTGCTATGAATATTGATTGCCCACCCTATCTATTACTTAAATTCGAAGAGGTCAAAAGCTGCGGCGGCGGTGGTGGTGGTGGCGGTCGTGGCTGTCACCCCCCACGCGCGGGCTACGATGCAATGCCATTCTGGGTCATAGGGCAGTCCAACAAGGCTGCGCCTTTCCAAGCCATCAGATACTTTATCTACGAGCCTACGAGACTTCATGCCGTAGGCTAGGCCATCCACCCCTCAAAGCGCCAGGTCCTTGAGGCTATGCTATTCTATGCCATAGGCTTGGCCATCCAACGCTTTTAGCGCCAGGTCCATCGAGCTTCATCAGTCTGACCCATAGGCTACAAACTTAGCTGTGTCTATCAAAGGGTGCTACAAACTGAATGCGTGTCACGTTTTCACTGATCGACTGCAAGTTCTCCATTTAAATGCCTTCTTTGCTGAAGTGTTTTCTATATTTATTTTTTTTTTCAGGTAGGTCAGGCATAGCACACGGGACATCACCTTCATGTATTAGTTTTCTGTTTGCGTTTCATGTCATGGTCGATTTATTTGAGTTCTCATGATTGATGAAATCAAAATAAAAACGTAAGTTCTTTATTTCATACGTCGCGCAAACGGACCGCTCCTCCCATCAAAATTGTGGCGATTTTTGCGAGGTGAGGTTGAACGTAAAAAAAATATGTTGAAAGAGGTCCCACAGGACGGCGATGACGCTGCAGATAAACGATTGGTTCTGGCGCGGAAACAACGTTTTCCACTGCAGTTGCGGTGCGAAGTGCCTAAATCGGTGCTTCAGGAGGTGCTAGCCTTAAAGGCTAGAATGGCTGATGAACAGTACCCCGTTGCACGTTGGGAGCGTAAGGCTGAACAGCAAGAGGCACCGAAGGCTGAGCTCAGAAATAAGAGAGCCGTGCAGCCTGCTGAGCAACTTGATGCAAAGAACGCAGCACTAAGGTGTCGAAAGCCCGGGGGCGGCCGGGAATCACACACGGTCCTCCTGCTTGCCGGTCAGGTGTGCTACCATTACACCACCGAATTCGGGACATTTTGTCAGGTCTCTCCATGTCATCTCAAATCACTACAGTCGTTTGCGCAGCGAGCACTGTCAGGCTGTATATTTTAATGTTGGGAGGGGGCATTTGTTTCGCAATGGAAAAATGCTCCGGCTTCAACTCACACATTAGCACCAGCGAGCAACACTTTCAGAGCCACAGGGTAATCTGAGGGCGAGGCATTTTCTGGAATTAGTTGCTAGCATTGTGCTGCACATGTACTAAATTCCCTTTGTGCCTTCGATCAAGTTCTTCAAAATGGTTCGTACTATTTCAGAATCATTGGTGTCTGTACAATATGCTAACGCTAATAGTACATGAGCCTATCGGTGATACAAGAGTATCGAATGTGCTAGGGAGACGAAATCAGCAAAGTCGTCTTGAATCTCATGAAAACGTGCTAAACCGTTCACAATGATCGATTGTGGCAATCAGCTGGAATATCATGATGATGGTGTTTAGCATTCGAATCTGCCTGTGTACTGTAAGCTATAAATGTATACATGTAATGAAGCAGTTCAGTTCCGAATGGGTAATGAGGTGAATAGAGAATTATCAAGGAGACTTTATGCTCAAAATGGACGGTTCAAATTTCTGCTTATTAGACGGCCAGCATAGCGGCCGCAGGCCGCTAGTATGTTATTACCTTAGCAGCTTGTGTCGAAGGAACTTATTTTCCTTTTTGTCAAATTTTTGGATAAAGTTCCTGGGATTTCTTCTCCAAACCATCTAACACTCGATGAACAGATTGGTTCTCCTATGAGGACAAAGTATCGAAAGAGCTGCATAGAGACATGAGAATCAAACGAACTTGAAAGTTTCGGGGATATTTATGCAGATTTTCTCTGTGCTTTGGCTGAATCAGGGGGACTGTCAATAAAGGCAGCGGTCTGGTGTTGTTCCCCGATCCGGAGCGCCGGTCGACCCGGACCCTCATGCACTGGATGGCCTCGACGGACATGAAGATCCCATTCCTCCCCAAGGGGATCCTCGTTCCCGTTTACGCAATGGCATGCCGGCAGTACATCCTCGATCTGCGGCGATACCAGGTGACCAGGTGGATGGAGCACCTCGACGCGCTGCGAGGCTGATCTCAGGTAAAAAATGCCGATGACTTCACTCGAAATCCGAAGGGCCACTTCGATCGAATCCCTTACGTATAAGGGACATTCGATGCCTGACAGGAAAAATTGAAAGGTAAAAAATATATATATTATTCGGAATTGTCACGTATGGTAACGGAATCAATACACATTTGAAGAGAAAAATATAATAAAAATATAATTTACGCCTTCGGCGCTCCATTACCTTGGAGAGACATTAATTAATTTATTTCTTGCGAAATGGCAAACACGTATTTAAAGTACGTCCCCATTGAAATACGTGATATATGGGGACAAAAGCCTTGATTTTTTATCAAAATCTTTACCTATATGATTTATATTGTGCCTAACTTGAAATCTTATCTTGTGTCCCTTTTTGTAAGGGTGGAGAATACATTTTGAAATACTTCTCTCCTATAATCTACGCTAAGGGAGCATTTTTCAAAAGTTGGATTTCTCCTCTACTCAGCTATCAAACAAGCACTTCTGAGGGATGCTTAAGTTTTATGTTTCTTTTTCGTTGGATCAAAAACAAATTCAGGAAAATGGGACTGAAAAGATGCCCTGATGGGTTTTAACTAAAATTTTTTTTTTCTGAAATGTAGACTCAGGGAACTCCATGCCACCAAATTTCAGCCTTATACGTTTCCCCTTTTTGTTGGTAGAAAAAAATGTTTTTGGAAAAACGACCCACCGAATAGCTGCGCTCTGAAGAGACGCACAACAATAGTTGTCTTTTTCCTTAAATCAACATCACGGCTGTTATGCGTGCGTCAGCTACTTTCTATTTCTGCCAGATTCGGTAGGATATGAAAAATTCTTTGGAAACGTTACGTTCCCAAGAAATATGAACCCTAAACAAATTTTGAAAATTTATTTTTACTCTGAAATATAGACTCAGGGAACTCCATGCCACCCAGTTTCAGCTTTATACGTTTTTCCTTTTTGCTGGCGGTAAAAAAATATATTTGGAAAAGCAACCCTCCCAAAAGCTGTGGCGTGGGGAGACGCTTAGCAAAAGTTGAATTTTTCCTTAAATCAACATCACGTCCGTTATGCTTGCGCCAGCTGCTATTTTTCTATTTCTGCCCGATTCGCTAGGATATGAAAAATTCTTTGGAAACGTTACGTCCCCAAGAAATATGCCCCCCAAAAATATTTCGGAAATTCGACATTTGACGTTTGAGCTGAGTGCTGCTAGAGTCACGTTCTTGCCATGTTATAGCTTTCCATGAGTCTCCGTTTAATTGAAGCAAGGAGAACTATTGGAAAGTATGTTCCCCGAAAAGGCGTGCATCACCAAGGTGGAATATTTCCTGAACTCAGCATGTGAATAGCTACTTATGTCAGTCAGTCAGCTACTCACAATCATCTATATATAATATGAAAGTAGAATTGTTTCTTTTCCTAGCTATTCATCAGGTACTTCTTTGCCAAGTTTAAACTTTCAGGCACACTTCGTTTTGCTGGATCAGAAAATTGAGGAAAAATTTTCTTTAACTCCTTATCTTGGTAGTCACAATCATGCAAAGTTGCAGCTTTCCATGTCCATCGGTTTAACTAACGCAAAAAATTGTGAAAACATCTCCCTTTGAAATTTATGCCCCCAGGGCATTAAATTCCAAAGTCTTAATTTTTCTGCACGCAGGATCCCAGTAGGTAATTATGTGCCAAGTTTCATCTTTCCACACTAGGTCAATACACAAGGACAAAAAAAATACTTGAAAACGTCGGCCCCAAAAAATATCCCCCCAGGGCATGGATCTAAAAGTTTGCATTTTTTTACTGAACTTATCGTGTCAGTAGGCACATCCATGCCACGTTTCAGCTTTCCATGTCTCTCCGTTTTATTCAAGCAACAGGACATGCAAGGCAAGAATAAAAGCCAAAAAAAGGGCGTGGAGTGGCTCGGAATTGAACCCAGGTCTCACGATTATAAGTTAGATGAGCTACCACTACACCACCGAAACGGTAACGTACAAAGGCCTCTCTCAAAGTCATCCTTATCCATCACGATATATTTTTAAAAAACTTCTCCCCCCAAAATGTGTACCCCCAGGACATGTACCTCCAAAGTCGGATTTTTTCTGAACTCTGCCACCCAAAAGGTACATGTGTACCAAGTTTCAGGTTTCTAACCTTTCTGGAACATGGTTAGAATTAGCGTCAGTCAGTCACGATCGTCTATATGTATTAGAAACCGCCATAGCCTATGGCCTAGAATGACAAAGCCTTGCAAGCCTAGCGCTTTAGACCATGGTTTACGTAGACTATGGCCTAGAATCGAATTGTTGATAGTGGGCGTCCCAATTGGCGAAAGTCTGCTTTTAATGCATGCTTCGAAGTTCTAGGAGATGCGGACGATGTACTTGCGGCTGACGGTTTCTGTTTAAATTTCTCCTTAAGTTGTCAAGTGCTTTCTTTACGTTCTGGTCGAATTCGGAATAAAGCCGAACGTTCCTCAGTCATTTTTTTCAACTCCTTTCACTTGGAATCGACCACATTGGAAATAATCCATACACACGACAGACAACGTGATTCGACGACGCAGGTGTGTTTTCAAATGTAAATGCCTTCACCGGCAATCAGGAGGCGCGGGTTTAATTCCGGCCGTACCCTGGCATGCTTGGGCGCTGCGTTCCTTGCCTCAAGTTGCTCAACAGGCTGCGCAGCACTCCCATTCCTGCACTCAGCATACCCTGTCTCCCGCTGTTCTGCGCGGCCCTACGCGCAGCATTCGCAACTGCACGCTATTCATCACTCATTCTAGCCCAACGACCAGCACGGCTAGCACTTCCCAAAGCAACGTTTTCTGCAGTTCACACCTCTACAGCGGTGGTAAATGTGCTTTCCGCGCCAACTCGAATCGTTTCATTTTGCGGCGACTGCCTCACTGCCGTCCCTTGCAGCCTCCACCAACATTTCTTATTCGCGTTCAATCACACCATCGCGAAGATTATCACTGTCAATGTTGAGGGGAGAAGCGCTTTTGCAGAGTTTGCACGACAAATTAAAGAGATTACGTTAGTATTTTTTACTTCATGGAGTCCTGACACACCCTGTCATTATAGCCATCTAAAGGGTGAGCCTCTTAAAAATAGAAGAAATATGCCAACGTTTTATGGTCTAGAGTCTAGGCCCAAGACTTTGGCCTGGAAAGGCGTAGCCTTGTAGCCTAGCGCTTTAGGCCGTGCATGGCTTGGCCTAAGATCCAGAATGGGATTGCATCGTAGGCTTGCGCGTTGGGGGTGTCAGCCACGACCACCACCACCGCAGCTTTTGACCTCTTCGAATTAAAGTATAGGACTAGCGGCCTGCGGCCGCTACGCTGGCCTTCTAGTATGCAGGAATTTGAATCGCCTATTCAGAGCAAAACGTCTTCTAAGACAACCCCCTGTTCATTGCATTACCCATTCGGAACTGAACCGCTTCATTACATTTATATACATATAGCTTACAGTACGCAGGGATATTCTGCTCTAAAACACCATCATCGTGATATTCGAGTTGATTGTCACAATCGCAATTGTGAACGCCTCGGTTTAGCACGTTTTCATGAGACTCAAGACGACATTGCTGATTTCGTCTCCATTCATTCAACACTCTTGCATCATCGATTAGCTCATCGGCTATTCGCGTTAGTGTATGGTACATACACAAATGATTCTGAAAGAGTACTGACCGTTTCCAAGAAATTGTTCGACGGGACAGAGGGAAGTTAGTGCATGTGCGGCACAATGCTAAAGACTAATTCCTGAAAATGCCAACCTTGCATCAAGTTGCTAAGCATGGTTCACGGCTCTCCTACTCTGAAGCTCAGCATTCGATGCCTCTTGCTGTTCAGCGATCTGAGCGGCCCTAAGCTCCCTACGTACATGTGCTTGCTGTTCATCACCGATTTTAACCATTACGGCTAGCTCCGATTTAGGCACTTAGTATCGCAACTGCCGTGGCAAACCTTTTTTCCGCGCCAGCACAAAGCGTTTTATACCAGCAACAACTGCCTCATCGCCGTCCTGTGGGAGCTCCTGCAACATTTCTTCTTCGCGTTCAACCTCACCGCGCAAAAATCGCCACCATTTTATTAGGAGGTGCACCTCGTTAGCGCGAAATATGAAGAGAAACTTTTTAGACTATTATTTTGACTTCATCCATCATGAGAATTCAAATAATTTGGCCACGAAACGCAAACAGAAAACTATTGCATGGAAGCGATGTCCCGAACCGCCACGCCTGACCTAATGGAAAAAAATGAACACAGAAAAAACACTTGATCAAAGAATGTAATCAGATGG